GCCTGGCCTATTTTTTCTATTTCATAAATGATCAATCTATGTTTTAGCATAATCACTTAACACTATTTATTTTGCATCATTGCATCTGCTGGCCGCTATGCAAAATTTGGCTGCTCAGACATGGTGCCAACTAGTGAGGTGCTTATGGGTGGGAGTCAAGCCTTGAACAAAGATAACCTGAAGTTTTGGGTGTATTCATGAGAAAAAATCTAATCAGGCAATTGTCAATTCGTTATTTGTAGCTAATCTCAGTACTTTTCTTTTCTATTGTGATTTATGTTTTGTAAAACACGTTTGCATTATTTCATTTGAAATTAAAATTTAACATATCATGCTGGCTTGCCTCCAAAGATTTCACATTATTCTGCAGCAAATATCCTGCTGGTTTGCTGTGAAGATAAGTGGAGTTTTTTTGTTTTTTGCTTCAACCTGGTATGAAACACCCCTTTACAGTTCTGGCTTGTGAAGGGAATAACTGTATCACATGAGCTCGAGGTCACAAGAACTTTATCAGTCTACCATTGTTCATCACAACCTGAACAATACCACAAAAAGGAGATGGGCCAGTTTATGGGTAATTGCAAAACTAGACGATCATCCCCATATAAGCTACCAATTTCCTGTCACAATTTGCTTGAAAAGTCTTTGCTATCAAGCCCTCCTTCACCCCTCTGCCACCAAACCTGAAAACATACCTGCGTCCGCACCTGTTCTCTGCCTTCCCTCCTGTTCAACAAGTGGGGAGGTGGTCTGGTCCTTTTTTGTTCTGGATCCCATTCTTTTTACCTTCTCGAGGACTGGACTCCTGCCATACACAGCCTCTTTCTTCTGTATTGTCATTTTCTCCTGCTTTACCAAGCAATTCCAGCCCTTTTCATTCAGACGGGCTTTTGTATCTTTCATCTTAAAGAAACCCTCTCTTGACCTCACCTACCTTCCCAGCTGCTGCCTGACCCCTCACGCTTCCTCCACAGCAAAGCCTGCAGAAAGCCTCATCTGGCCCTGCCACCTCCCCCCGCTCACATCACATTCTCTCCTCAACACTTGCCACCCGGGTCCTCATCAAGGTCACCGGTGACCTTGAAGCTGCCAAAGTCATGTTACTTGAATGTCTGTCTTGACTGCCCGGTCAGCACTGCCCACCGCTGACATCCCTTCCTTCTGCAATGGCTCTTCCTGGGGCCTCACACATCCAACTGTCCACCTGGCGTCTCCACTGAGATGTTGAAATAGTCACCTCCAACTCACTAGGAAAACAAAACCTCCTCATACCTGCCTCCTCCCAACCTGTTTCTACCTTCTATGCAGAAATTCAGACCCAAACGCTCAGAATCATTCTCGATTGGTCTGTTTCCCCTCAGTACTCACATCCACATGCCAACAAGTCTAAATGGTTCTGTTTCCAAAATAAACCCCAACTCAGACCACTTTTCTCCACCCCCATGATCCCCCTCACTGCAAGCTGTCCCATTACCTTTCCTCTGTATTATTACAATGGTCTCCGAAGTGGCTACCCTCCTTCAACTCCTGCCTCCCCACAATCCGTTTTCCACCCACAGCCAGAGTGATGTTGATGAAACACATGAGATCTCACGGCTCCATTGCTTAGAACCCTCCAAAGCTTCGTGTGTCCGGACACACCTGGCCTGTAAGGCCGATGGTAAGATCCAGCCTCCGAATCTCTCTGACCTTCCCGCAGCAGCCCTTGGCTGATAGGTGCTAACCACATTTGCCTGCTTTCCGTTACAACTTCAGATTCATGGAATTCAACTGAAATTCAAATGAAAGACACCACAAAGACCAAAAGACCCAAAGAGCAACCCACCCGTATTGACCCCATTGCAATACTCTCAGAGAAAACTCTCAAGATGTTTGTTTCCAAGTTATTATTCTCATTTTCCTTCTTAAATTGAAGAACCCTAAAATTAATTTTTAACTTTAAAATAATGTAGTTGGTTCAAAAGTTATCTTATCCCTACGGGAAAATTAACTTAAGACCCTCAGATAATTGAACCGTGACACTGACAGCCTTTCTCAAGGATTCAATCTCAAAAAAGTACTGGATTGAGTAAAACAGTGTTTTGTTTACCATTAAAATACTTGATTTAGCTCTACTTGTAAAATCTACTTGTACGTTACAAAAAACATACATTCTTGTAAATAAAAGTCAATTTTCCCATGGAGCATATAAGTCAGATTTGTCTCGATATCATTCTGAATGAGGATCATCAAAATATGAAACCAAGAACTACACAATTTAATAAGTAATAAAAATATTTCCAAGCACTATGAAATAAATGTCATGAAAATTCTGTGCATGTTAAAATTAAAAACGGCATTTTCAGAAGGAATGTTGCATATTTAACATTAATTTCCTTATTTATATAAGTCTGGGCTATATTAAAAATATAAAAATATACATAAATATATACATAAAATACACTCTCATCTGACATGTGCGTAGACATTTAAGACAACAGAATGTTAGGCTTAAAAAACACCAGTAAAACTAACTCCCACAAAATATTACCTCTGAAAGAGCATTGTAATTACATTTGCATCTGCTGGTGCTAAATTCTCCTTTATTATAATGACAATTAATTATGCTTTCTGATAATAACTTTTAAGTAACCTTAATTTATCTATATGAAAATATATGCATTCAGAGCAAATGGTTTCTCAAGTTTTTAATTAAAAATGTTCATGATTCAGCTATAAAAACACTTTCACAAACTAGCTGCTTTGGATTCCTTAGATAATACAGGTGGGAGTTACCAATTGTTTCTGGATTTGGGGTTGAATATGGGATGCCTCATCAACCGTGAGACTGTCATGAACAGGAGAAAGAAGACATGAGACTGACTAATAAATCTTAATTTTAATTTCTCACTAGATGTTAAGAATAGCATTTCCCCCAAATATATAAGATGTTTTATGATTACTTTTAGGCAAACAAGATAGGATAAATCTGACAACTCAGATGCTTTTCTATAAATGTCTAAATCTGAAGTTGAAAGGAAACACCACTCCCGATTTCAACCAGGACCATGTAGTTCGGGGTGATTTTGCCAGTGTACACAGTATCAGTGAGAACCAGGAGGACACCTGCACCTCCAGTTAGCGGAGGATCCTGGTGTGGCTGGAGCATCTTCTGCCTACCCTTTCCCCTGCCATGTCAACTCCTTGCCCTCTCCAAGCCATCCAATTAAAAACACGGGGCCAGATGCCCGGCCCCTTCTTCTAGCCAGCGTGCCACTGCTCACTCCTCCATTTTAGAAATTCCACAGATATCACTGGCTCTACATTGGTATGCTTATCAGAAGCAAAAGTCATATTAAAGGATGAAAATAAAAGCTTTTTAAAAAAGTCATTTTTGGCCAGGCGTGGTGGCTCATGCCTGTAATCCCAGCACTTTGGGAGGCCGAGACGGGCAGATCACGAGGTCAGAAGATCAAGACCATCCCTAACGTGGTGAAACCCTGTCTCTACTAAAAATACCAAAAAAACTAGCCGGGCGTGATGGCGGCGCCTGTAGTCCCAGGTACTCAGGAGGCTGAGGCAGGAGCATGGTGTGAACCCGGGAGGCGGAGCTTGCAGTGAGCCGAGATCGCGCCACTGCACTCCAGCCTGGGCAACAGAGCAAGACTCCGTCTCAAACAAACAAACAAACAAACAAACAAAAAAAGTCATTCTTATTAGCCATCCCAACACAGAGCCCACAGGACAATGGTGCTCTGGAGAGAAGGGGTGGGGTGAGCTGGGGGACACAGGCCTTGCAGGCAGGGCAGGGCCTCTCTGTTTTACACATCAGTTTCTCCACATGCTTCCCTTCAAAGAGAGGATTCTGAGAAGGAAGTATGTCTCCAAACCACCATGCCAGGCAATACAAACTCTGAAATACTGGTATTGATGAATACAGAGACACACACGCACACACACACACACACACATATACAGACACTCTTCTGGTGCACTGTAACAAAAATGACTTTCTGAGAAGCTTAACAAATACTTTTCCTTTGAAACATGCTTTATGAAATGACCAAATATTTTAAAGAAATGTATATTCTGAAAATGAGAGAAAACTAATATTGATGTCACTCTTTTGCATAAGCAATACTGCCATCCAAGTGATTAGGAAAAGCAGCCCTAAATAATGCAGATGTGAACCAAACTGCATTTTAATATGATAAACATTCAGAAGTGATCCATGCTATCATTTTTTAAACAATGCATTCTTCTCTTAATTGATCTGAAGGCTGTGCATCTTAAGAGTAAACTGAATTCTGCTGTTTCTGTAATTCCCAGGGAGACAATTACCCACCATAAGTATTTTTCTCTACTCATGTAATTTCTACTATTGTTATCTGGGAAACCGCTTAATTGTTAGTTTAAGAATACAGACAGGGAAAAGAGCACCATCAACATTTCTTAAAGGTATGCTGCCTTCCTGATTATCAGCCTTCTCCGTACACTCATAAAAGCATGTCTTGCAATGCCATTGTAGTTAATTTTTTTTTTTTTTTTTTAGATGGGAATCTCGCTCTGTCGTTCAGGCTGGAGTGCAGTGGCATGATCTGGGCTCACTGCAACCTCCATCTCCCTGGATCAAGCAATTCCCCTGCCTCAGCCCCCTGAGTAGCTGGGATTATAGGCGCACACCACCAAGTCCAGCTAATTTTTTTGTATTTTTTGTAGAGATGGGGTTTTACCATGATGGCCAGACTGGTCTTGAACTCCTGACCTCAGGCAATCCGCCCACCTTGACCTCCCAAAGTGCTAGGATTACAGGTGTGAGCCACTGCCCCTGGCTGTAGTTAATATTTTTAACAAACATAAATATTTTGGTACAGAATAAGTATTTCTCTTAGGCATTTAGAGAGTTGGATTTCAAAGAAAGTTAATAATGAATTAGTATCAATATTGATTCTCAACAAGAAACCTTATTAAAAATGGTTCCATCTTTCACTAGTTAGACTATTTCAGGAAGCACTTCTTACCTGAGAATATTCAAAGTCAGTGATAGGGGCTATGCTCTTGATGTAGTCTGATCGAAACTGGTTTTCAGGGTTGGCCAGCGGAACTGGAGGTATTATAGTACTCATTGCTGAAACAATTGTCTAAAATGGAATAAGAAAAAAATATGGATAAACATTGAGGCTCCCTGTATGATAATCTACAATATGTAATTTCTGTCTAAAGTTTTAGAATGAAGCGCACTTGACCTTTCTAGTAAACAATCATTTAAAAAAGTCCTTACCACGATAGCATCTTTAACATTTTTCCGGATGTCCAGAATCTTCTGTTTCTTTTCCCTGTATTAAAAGAGAGTTGTTATTAGCTTAATTTACCCTTAGCACTGATTCCAATCAATTGAGTGGGATTTTAAATTTCCAGCTACAGCACTGACCTAGACTGGTTTCACTAGAGGTCAGTATCATCCCCCAACACAACATCTGCAAAGGTTTTATCTGGGAAAGGAAAGCACCCTCCTTTTCTAATTTGCACTCTAAACAAACTTGAATGCACATATTTTTTAACTCTATAGCTTTAAACAACCATGCAGCTTACATAAAAACAAGGCAAAATCGCTATGAATATTGCATATAAATATAACGATGCAGCTACACTTGTAAATGTATTTTACCTAGGTCTATCCCATGGAGAATATGCTGATAGTTATAAACTGAAATAGATGCAGACAAATATTATATTGAAAAAATATACTGAGCTATTGGTTAAGTGTGCTCAGAGCAATACCAGTAATACAGATCAATACTCCAAGAATACCTATAAACCATATTTTGTTAAGCAAGTTTTTTCTTTAAATTAGACACTAGCAGAAGGAGGATTTGCCTAAATATACCAAATCCAACAGCAAATATCTAATTTTTTCTCCCTTGAATGTCTACTCAATTATCAAATACATTGTTTAGAGAAAGCACTTCTGGGACGTTTGGGAGAGACGAAGTTTGCATGCAGTTTGGAAGCAAAATCGAAATTGATCATTCTTACTCGGGATTAAACCCATTGACGTGCAGGATCCTCATCTGTTTGACGATAGTGCTTTTCCCAGACTCACCAGCCCCTGCAAACAAACAGAAAGTAGGCTGTGAACTGTGTCCGGATATCGCTGCCATTTCTCACCACTAGCCGGGTCTGAGCAACCCTCCTCCCCCAGCACAGGGATTTCCTACACGCGGGTTCCCGGCTGGAGGAGCTCGCCCCGGCCGCCGTCTGGGCTCCGCCGTTCGGCGGTGCGCGCGCCCCTCGCCCGGCCCTGCCCGCCCAGCCCGGCGCTCGCCGCTCCTGACTGTGCGCTCGGCTGGGGCCGGGAGCCGCCGCGCGCCCCTCGGCCTTACCCAGCAGCAGCAGGCGGTGGGTAGCCTTGTAAGCCAGGCGCTCTTTCTGCAACTGCTTCTCGATCTTTTTGTTGGCCTCGCGTCGTTCCTTTTCATCGACGCCCTGGTCTTCTGTCGTCTTGCTGTTGCCGCCCAAACATCCCATGCCTGCCCGCTGGGATGGACGTCAGGCAGTTAGGAATGTGCGCAAAAAGCAACAGAGAGTTGGAGACGTGCGCGGCTCCTGCGACGGCCGGTCTCTTTCCTGCTGCTGAAAGAGACGGTCTGGTCTCTTCGGTGTTTTCCGATTCAGAGCAGGCGTTTCTTCTCCCTCCCCCTGCCCACCGCAAACTCCCAACTAAATGGCTGTAAGGAAGACGCGCGGAGTAAAATGCCTTTTTAAACCAGAATTGTTTTAAAATCTGCCGGATGAATGCGGCACAATGAACGGAGACGGGAGGCGCGGGCGCCGGTCTCCGCTGGAGACAGCCGAGGTGGCGTAGCGCCCTGGGTTCGCCCCGCGTCCCCGCGCCCGCACTCCGAGCCTCGCTCAGCCCCGCCCAGCGGGTCCCCGAGGGGGCGGCGCGCTCCACTGGGTGCTGGGTCCCAACCAGCCGGGGTGGTGGCTGAGCGTGGCGCGGAGGACAGAACGCGCCACCGGGGTCCCACAGGGCGACGATGGGCACCTGCCGGGCCGGCTCGCGCCCCGCTAGTCCTCTGCCGTCGGACGTGCGCCCCCTCCCTGGTCTGGGATCCCGGTGCGGGGAAGGGAAAGGGAAGCTGACTTTGGGGGCGGCCGGGCCGCTGGTCCCGGAGCACTCGGAGAGGCGCTACCACGCTGTAGGGGTCTGGGAGCTGACCCCCCACGGAGCCCGGCCCGCGGGGGCGCTTACACGCTGGCCGGCCTGGGGTCCGGGCCTGCAGCCCCTCCGCCGCACCGCGGTTGCCTGGCTCTCTTGCACCCCGAGCCGGGAAAGTGCGCCTGGGCGCGCGCCCCGTGTTGGCTCGGACGCGTCCCTGCTCCTGGCGGGCGAAGACTCCGCAGGATCATGCATATTCTAGCAGGGAGGAGGACCCCTCCGAGGCTCACCAGTCACACCGCCTTTGTTCTGCTCAGCTTCTAGACTATTCCAGCTCGCCCACGTCGCCGCCTCCCGAGCCTCCTGTCTTTACCTCCAGCCCCCGTTTCTCCTGTGCAGTGCTCCCAAGCAGCGCTACCACTCTTCCAGAAGGCACTGTGGCCTCGAACTTGGAGTTGTAGCAGAGGAAGGAACTAGGGCGCGAGACTGGCACCTGCCCTCTGTTACTGAGGCCCCTCCAACAGGGCCGCAGCTGGCAGCTCGGCGTTTGCAGTGTTGGACTTGGGGGAAGGAGGTCAGAAGAGGGGGTCGGGCCGAAGTCGTGGACGCCAGCCGTGGGCGTGGAGAGGTCACTGTTCCCTGTGTGTGGCTGCTCCCGTCCCAGTTGACGGCTTGGCGCTGCGCTGTCTTCTACTCGTCTTTGCTCAGCTCCGTCGTCCCTCCACCTTCCAAGAAACCTACACGATCTTGTTCACTGCGGAGCTGACCGCCTTCAGGAGAACAGACCCCAGCTCGCCCCGGTCCCCCAAGAGGCGCTTCCGCTACCCTCAGGCCCGTCGCTGCCCTGTGGACCTTCGCCCCTCACCCAGGGCACCTTCCCCTCTCCACTCTTGCTTCAACTTCTCCTGCTACCGGCTGGTTTCCCTCAAGCAAGCCAACACCTTCAACTCTGTCCCACCTGAACCACACAACACCTTCCATCTCACGCCCCTTGTTAGTTCCACCAGTTTTTCTCCTGCCCACCGCAGCCAAGAGTTAGAAAGGTCGCGTCTGACCCCGCCTGTATTCCCCTCCTGCTACTCCCACCTCAGTCCCTGGCAGCCTGGCCTCCACATTCACCCCACAGGGAAAATACTCTCATCAAGGTCATCTAGGTCATCTCATCCACGAGGTTTGGTCTTTATTTTCTTCGCGTCTCTGTGGCTCCTGCTTTGACTCCTCCTAGAGACTGCACTGGGTTTCAGGCTGTCCCTCTGGCTGGTGCATCCGGGCTCCTCCACCCAGGGGTCTGAGCGCAGCCTCTCAACCCGCACACCTGTTCCTGACGGGCTGACTGCATCCTCCATAGTCTGCCCACTCAGCTCTCACCGCACCCACCACGGATCCCTAGCCCAGCCCATCCTGCTGACCGCCACCGTCCTGAGACATACCACCCCCACGGTGCCGCCAGTGTCTGGAATTCACCTTGCCAAAGACTGAGCTCATGCCCCGTGCCACCCTCACCTTCTACCTGCTCCTTTCTCTCTCTGTTCTTTCTCTTGAATAAGGGCCCCTAATTTTCCAAACCAGAACGGTGGGAGTTATGCCAGACTCTCTTTTCTCACAAACCCCAATAGTTACTGCATCCTGTTGAGTATCCGTCCTGTTCTTTCTGTGGCGTCTGCCACTGCTGTGGTCTTAGATTACTAATAGAGCTGGATTTCAGAGGCCTCCGGAGGGTTTCCACTGCCTCCTGTCTCATTTCAGTGCACCTTGCACAATGCTGCTACTGCGGTAATACAAACCCAGTCACATCACTGTCCCCATGATCTACAAGCCCCGGGCCTGGTCCTTCTGGCTGGGTTAGTATAAACTCTCTGCTTCTTAGGGCGTACCCCATCCCTCCTAACACTCCCAGTTCCTGAACAGGCTGGTCGGGTGCATGTGCTGCTTGTGTCTTGGGAATACCTGGGGACTCTCTTTTCTGGGCCAACCCCTAGTTATCCTTCCAGCCTCAAGCTGGGCCTCACTGCCTACCTCACACTGGGGGTTAAGCATGTCTTCTCATGCTCTAAGGGAGCACCAGAGTCTCTGCTCGTCCCACCCATCACCTTGCATTGTGATGGTTTAACTGTGTCCTCAAAATTCCACTAGACTGTAGACCCCTTGAGGGCCGAGGCTGAGCCTGTCCTGGTACCTGCCGCACCTGTACCTGGTTCAGTGCCTGACCCAGAGGAGATGCTCTGGGAATATTTGTCAAGGGAATGAATGACGTTATGAAAGGCAAAGATAACTCCAGCTCAAAGTGTGAATTCTCATCAAAGGCATTTCATGACCACACGTTAAACTAAAAAAACATTTGTTCAGTACAGTACTTTTCAGTAAATAGTCCTACTGCAAATAAAAATACATTTTAAAAAAGCAATGAATTACTTTTCTAGACGTAGGCAGAAGCAAACATACAGTGTCAGACTCCATTCTGAGCTAGGTTAAAAGTTCAAGTTTTGTGGAAGGAGACTGTTTAGCACAGTTTCCACCACTCACATCTTGTGAGTGTGTAAACACATATATTCACACATGGCAATATCAACCCAGCATGCGCTATGGCTAGTGGGGCAGTGAGAAGGGAAGTTTTTTTTTTTTTTCTTTTGAGACAGAGTCTGGCTCTGTTGCCCAGGCTGGAGTGCCATGGCATGATCTCGGCTCACTGCAACCCCTGCCTCCCAGCTTCAAGCAATTCTCATGCCTCAGCCTCCCGAGTAGCTGGGATTATAGGCACCTGCCACCACACCCGGCTAATTTTTTGTATTTTTAGTAGAGATGGGGTTTCACCATGTTGGCCAGGCTGGTCTCGAACTCCTGACTTCAAGTGATCCAACCGCCTCAGCCTCCCAAAGAGCTGGGATTATAGACCTGAGCCACAGTGCCTGGCGAGAAAATGTATGTATTTTTTTTAAAAAAAGCATAGAGTAGTGGGATTTTTATAAGGATATGCCAACTTTTTTAATGTCAAGATTTCTATAAAATGTTGGAGAGCAGGGGACAAAATAAATCCCTTGAAAACTTATAAAGGGAGAATTATATTAGAACCTGAAGCCACATTTTTAAGGCAGTCTGATATTTAGTTTCCCTAAAAATATAGCAAAAGATTTCCACTTGTTCAGATTTAGCGATCACTGTTAAAGATAAATTCTATACTTGAAATTTAAGAAGGATTAGGTAAACACATGTGATGAAAAATATACCAAAATATACCCAAAAGGTTAATATATTAATAATACAATGATAATGTGTGTGCTGTAAAACTGCTTCTAGTTATGGAGTGATTGCTGGCACTGGGTTAAATCGTTTCCATGGAACAATTTACTTGGTATTTGCCCTAAAAGGTGGGAACTATTGTCATCATCATTTTACAGAGGCTGAGAGGCTGAGTAAGAAGAGTACCTGGGACACAGACCCTTGTAGCCTGGCTGCAACATTTGCACTATTACCTGCATTGTGTGCCACAACACATTGCCAACACTCTAAAACATAAAAGCACTTTCCTTATACAGTGATGAGACATTTCTTACAAAAAATGCAAAGCCAATCTTAGCCTATTTTCAGGCAGGAATTCAAGACACCTTAAAACATTTTTTAACCTAATCACCTGACCTTTTTCTAGTCTGGTCTGGGAAACCGATTCTCATGTGTGTTTAGAACCATTGGATCAGCATCAGGTGTACCAGCTGGCCACCTGGAGCAGTGGGAGCAGGGCTGGGGAGGAGGGTACCAAGAGCAGAGTGGCTCCAGCTCCCAGTGTGAGCGTCTGTTGCTAGGCAACCACAGCAGCAGCAGCATTGCGCTCCCCGGCAACACACCCACCTGCGGGGACCCAGGGCTGCCCTGGGAGCTGCGGGCAGAGGGTCCAGGGTGACTGCGCCAGAGCCAGGAAGAGAAGGTCCTGGTCACCTCATGGAGAATTTGAA